TATATATATATGCATTATGTATGTTATATATAAAAATTATACAAATGTTAAATATTTTTTCGGCTATCAGATATGAAAAGTTTTTAGCACGGGTTAAAAGTGATAATACCCCTTTTTAAATCGAAATACTTGTTTTTTTGAAAAGTAATTCAATTCTTTTTTAAAAGGAGATGCCAAAAAAATATGTGATAGAATAGATTAAATTTTTTTATAGGTCAACTCTTTCGATCCATTTTAAATAACTCTTTAGCTAAACAAATTTGGTTCAAAATAAATGTCACTTTTAGGACTCCATGTAGGCATTAATTATTATTTTTCAGATTTGCTTCTGCTCAAATAATACAATCTTTTAAAAAATCTCTCAACATTTATTAGGAGATATGGATGATAATTTAGTGATTATAGCTCTTATAATTAATATTGTTTGATGATTTTGTGAACGGGTATGCCACAAAGTTTTAATAGTGATTTTTACATGCTTGATCCCTTTTTAAAAATTATTATCATAAATGATAGTAGACTTTGTTTATTCCAAAAACAACACTTTTTTTTTTTTTTTACTTTTTTAGCACTTTTATTTTTATAACTCTATTAACTAAGGGATCCCTCTACATTAATACACTTTTTACTACATTTCCTTTTCCCTCACTCTTCTATAACTTCCTTTTTCTCTTCCATAAATAACACTTACCCAAATATATCAAAGATTCTGAAAGAAGAATATCTCAAAAATAATTCTCTCTACACAATGAGAATTTTAGTATTTCTTTATTTTAAACATTTTTCTGTACAATTTTATATTAACTAAAAATATACATTTAACATATTTCAAGTATATTATATTGTGATAATTTACAATATAAATATTCCATCAATATGTCATATATATACCACATATATAACTTATATATACATCATACTACATTATTATATTGATATTATTCAAAGTATATTGCTAGCATATACCTTACATAAAATTTAATCTAAAATATTAGTATGTCACTAATATGTATATAGAAGAAAAAAAATATGTCACATATACTAGTGATATACGGATAATTTATACAAATATGCATGTTATATTAGTGCAAAATATAAATAGCATATTTATAATATCTCTTTAAATATAAATAAGTGTATAAATAACATATGCATATATACATAACTTTTCCTTAAAAAACACATGATTTATAATATACCATAAACATACATCATATTTTTTTTCACGAAATATATGTATTTTATTCCATTGGAATATACAAATATATAATTTTGCTAGGATTAAGTTGAATAAAAAGGTCCATGTGTAAAAAGGAAAAAAATTATTATGGAATGGATCGATGATATATAATTAAATATAAAGACATATATAAACAACATATGCATATATATATATATATGAATTTTCCTAAAAAAAATATATATGATTTATAATGTATATACACCACAACCTACATTATAATTTTTTCATAAATATATGTATTTTATTTTGTTAGAATATAAAGATGTATAATTTGTTACATTACATTATATAAAAAGGTCCATGTATGGAAAGGAAAAATCTGTTATGGAATGGATTGGTTTCTAAAAATAATATAAACATGGTATGGAATGGAGAGAAAAAATAGGAAAATATATTAAATACTAGGACTGCCTTTTTAAATAGCTTGATTCTTGCCTTTTTACTGATTCGAAAGTTAACTGTGACTCAAATATTAGTTCAACAAACCAAATCCGCTTGGATAGTAAAAATTAGATTTTTAATAAGTTTAAATATGTGAGTTTAAATTTTAAATTTGATTTCGTGAGAATTTTGGAGTGGGTATTATTTAAACTTGTTATAAATAGTATAAGGAGATTGTATATAAAATTTGAAGTCATTTAATGGAGATTTGAACTGATTTTGAACAAGAAGTGCAACTGAAAATCGTGAAAGAAGTTCGTCTACAGACGTTTGTATAAAGGTGTATAAAAGTGTATAATAGTGTATAAGATGTGTTTATACACTCATATACACTATTATACAAGATTATACAAAATTATACAAAAAAGTGACTTCGTTTTCTTCCTTGCATCTTTTCTGAAATTTAACTCAAATCTTGCTCAAATCTACTCCAAATCACTTCAAATTTAAATCTTGAACTCCTTTTGATATTTGCAATCAATTACAATAACACCCAATCCAAACAACTAATAAACTCAAAAAATCATATT